AGGAAAATTATAGAATAAGAAGTTATAGTTATAAACTTAAGTGTATAAATAGTGAAATTTGTAAATAAATGTGTTAAATTGATTCATCGTCAATTTCAAATTTGAATTTGGAAATGCGTGAATAGAAAAGGAGAAATAAGGGTTGAATTGTGAAATGTGAGCACCAAAAAAGATAGAAAAATAAAATGAATGAATACATATTTCAATGTTATTTTATTGCAATTTTTCTTTCCTCTATGTTTTTTTATCTGATTATTGTGAATCATCAAAGTAGAATCGTTAATTCAAATGTACTTATGTGCAAAAAATTTAAATAAAACAATAACAACAAATGGAAAGCTTAAACACGTTTACATTAAGAATGTCTTCAACTTCAAGTGCTCCACTTAAAAGGAGTTAATAATAAACCAAGTTTGACCACTCCTCCCTCTAAGTTTCCTTGCAACTCTCTACATAAAACACACGAGAATGATGATATTTCTCATCATATACACATAGATGATGTTGATATATAGATGAAAATAAATATACACATCGATGCTTAATTATACCGCTAGCACATCATTAACAATCCCTCTATTACTACTACTTCTGTCCTCAAACCTTATGTACTTGTACCATCTTGCGCAAAACACATACACCACAAAATCAGCAGTTGTAAGAGCTGCCAATAGGTAATAAAAGTTGTCCAAATGCCCGTTGTTAAGGTTCTTAGGTATCCAACCGGGCATATCATCAGAAGTCGATGCCTTCATCACAATGCTCACGATCAAGCTGCTCACATAGTTCCCCAACGATATTGAAGTCATACTAAGAGCACTCCCGAAGCTTTTCAACCCATCCGGTGCTTGACTGTTGAAAAATTCCAACTGTCCAACATACATAAAAACCTCTGAGGCCCCAATCAACACGTATTGTGGTATCTGCCAGAATATGCTCAAGCTGCTCGAGTCCTCCTCTTCCCGCGCATATTTCAACCGAAAATGTTCGACAGCCCCCGCGGAGAGCATGGCAGCCACGGCTATGATGAGGCCGATGCCCATACGCTCGAGCTCTGTGAGGCCTTTCCCCGATTTTCTAAACCTAGAGACAATAGGAATAATGATGCGGCGACTAATGAAGATGAAAGAGGCGACGCTTAGAATGTCGAAGCTAGACATGCTGGCCGGTGGTATGTGAAAGCCGGAGAGGGTTGTTTTCATTGCGGCACCTTGTTCGACGAAAAGGGATGTCATTTGTGTGAACACGACTGAGTAGAGGATAGTGCACAGCCAAATCGGGAGGAGTCTTAGTATGCATTTTACTTCTTCCACTTGTGTTACAGAGCAAAGCCTCCATGGGTTAATAACGTTATCATCTTCTTGTATCACTACAGCAGCTTTGTCTAAAAACCTGCAATGTACGTACATGCGTTAATCATCATCATGATAAACTTATGGTTATTTATGATTATATGAACTATATATATATACAGACTATAGTACTCACTTGAATCCCTGTGTATGAAGTATTTTTCTGCCTCCATTATCAGCAAGATCACTTCCTTGCACTTCATATAAACAAACTTGGGTACTTGATGATGAGGACACTTCAACTTTCCATTTTCTAAATGCTGCAATTAGAACCTGACAGAATCTTGAAAATGGGTTGCCTTTTGGTGTGATGTGTCTATATATTGGTGTTCCAAGCAGGAACAAAATCAATGCAAGTGTAGCAGAGCCAGCAGATGCCCAGAAGCCGAGAGCCCAAATGCCCTTATCCTCATAATACCCGAGCACGGTGTTTGAGAAAAGACTTCCCAGATTCAATGCCAAGTAAAAGTAGCTAAAGAATGCAACTTTTGAGTGGCTCTCCTTGGGATGATCTTGGTCGAACTGGTCGGCTCCAAATGTAGCAATAGTGGGTTGATAGCCTCCGTTTCCAAGGGCGATTAGGTAAACCGATATGTAAAAGAGTGCTAGATGGATAGTGGAATGAGGTGCGCAAGAAGTTATCCCATCCCCGCAACCACTGGGCTTGACTAGGAACAAGTATGATGACAGTGACAACAAAACCAATCCCTGCACCACAATTCACAAACAAACCATCCATCCATCCATCCATCCATCACTATAAATAATAATAATAATAATAATAATAATAATAATAATATAAACTAGCTAGCCTAGCCTAGCCTATCCTGCAGAAATTAATAAGGGAAAATAAATAAACTTACAATGACAAATATGAGTTGAAAAATGGCGCAAGTTTTGTATCGACCCCAATATGAGTCACTGAGGAAAGCCCCAAGAAGAGAGAACAAGTAGACAGTGCCAGTCCATTTGCTCACATTGTTTGCAGCAGTAGCATTGTCTTGCCCCATCACTCTTGTCAGGAACAATACTAGATTTACACCAACTCCAAAAAATGCTAGGGTAGCAAGACCTTGATTCACTGAAATTTACATGTGTAGCTACTCTTTAGCAACTAGCTAATACATACATATATATATAGATATGAATCTATCTGATTCAGAAGGGAAGAACTTGCATCAGTATCTCAATTCAAACATGGGTAGTTACATATATCGATATATTTTATAAACATAAAACAAGAAATGCGCGCGCGCTAAGTAAAGAAAACTACTTTTAATTTGACTATTTAATTACCAAGTATCAAAATACCAGCACCCCATGTTCCACTTCTTGATCGAATGGCGGGTCTTCCATGACGATCTACAGAACCATCAAAAGTGCATTCTTCTTCTGATCGTTTCAAATCCTTCTTCTCCATTTCCACTTCTACGTACTTCTGTTAAGAAACATATATGATCGATCATATAAATTTTTTATACAGATCTTTCTGTACGAATATTATACCTTCTTTTTCTTTTTTATACATTGACAATAATTAACAAGTTGATGAATGCAATGATATATATAGCTTTTTTTTTTTTTTTTTATATGCATGCACTCATGTAATTGAACTTGTCTCATATCAATATTAGAAATGCATGTGTAATTAAAGCTAGTTTCCAATGTAACATATATATTTATATAGTTGCATATATGTCAATAAAAAGTATGAAATAAGTATAATTAAGTAGAAACTAACATATAGCTAGGCATATATATATGAATGAAAGCATGCATGCAGAAAAATCATATAAACCATCATACTAGCTCCATTAATTATAACCAAATGAGAAACAATATATAACAATAAATAAGAAATCTAATTAATCAAAAAGAAAGAAATTAATTATATGACGTACATGATCACTTGCTAACCTGATTTTCTGGACAGGATTAATTGATTGAGCGAGAGGAAGCTAGCTAGCTAGCAAGCTAGTTTTGATGATATATATATATACTAATGTATATATATAATTGTTTGTTTGGTTGGTTGAGATATATAGGATGAGAAGCTGATCAGAAATGGCAGATATATTTATAGAGCCAGCCGAGCCGCCTCATGTCATGAGCTAGCTAGCTAGCAACAAATTAATTAATTAATATTTTTAGGAAAAATAACAATTAATTAAAATATGATGAGTGAGGGGAAATTGACTAAATTAGAAGCGTGATTTGGTTGAATTCATTCATGATTAAATATTAAAAGGTGATGGCTATGTATCGGCCGGTGTCGTCTTTTCTTCTAACCCAAACAAGTTGGGACCAAGCTGTACTGATTTTGACATGTTTGAATTGAACCTCCATGCAGTTTTTGTGATGCAGCGCATCCCATATCGGGTTTGAAAGGAAACGAAGCAGGCCTTATATGAACATGTGGATACCTTCACTAGTAAGACGCGTTTTGGTGGGTGTGTATTGAAGCCCAGCCAAGAACAAAGCCGTGCGGGTGGCGGAAGTAGCCCAAAGCGGACAATATCTTAC